CTTCTTTTTCCTTCTCCTCTGCTTCTTTTGCCTTTGTCTCCTCAGCTTTGAGTCGTTCTTCCTTTGTCTTCTTCTCTGCCTCTCTTGCCTTCTGTTGCTCAGCTCTGAGTTCTTCTTCCTTTGCCTTCTCCTCTGCCTCTTTTGCCTTCTGCTCCTCTGCCTCAAGCCTTCTTTCTTCAGCATCCAATTTTGCCTGGACCTTCATTGCTTCAAGTTTTTTGGCCTCACTCAGGACCTGTTCAGTTTCGGCTTTCTGCTTTGCGTGGATCCCCTCTGCACCAGAAAGCGGAGCGACGCATTCATTGATTTCTTCATCGTCGGTGAAGCTTTCCTCTTCCTCCTCCTCTTCAATGACTACGATTTGATCGCAGTTGTCTTCCTTCTGCTTTGCCTTGTTCGCGTCCTTTTGTTCTTCTTTATTCTCTTCCTTCTTCTTTTCGTTTTCCTCTGCCTGTTGTTCTTCCTGCTTCTCTTTGTTTTCCCCTTTGTCTTTCCCATCCTGGCAGGCAGCGGGCAAGTGGGAGAATATGTTCAACACTCTGACCAACTGATGGGTTTTAGGAGCCTGCACCACATGAACCCTGCCTGAACTGGGATTGGTTTTCGAATAGATCGCGACCTCTTTTCAATGCTAGCGTCCTGCCAACTGAGCAGTGGTGATTTAGAAGCTAAGGGGTTTCCAACGCTTGCCTTGAAAATCACGGTGACCATTGCCTTCAACTTGGACATGTTGCCTTCCTTTTGCCTAGAGAAGTGGAGCGATTCATAGGCAGCTAGAATCTAGGGATCGGCAAAAAAAGAAGAGTTCTCAAAACACTTGCCCTACCTGGTGGACTGTGTACGCCCGTGATTAGCTATGATCTTGCTCGCCAGCAAGCGATGCAGGGCAGATTCGTCTGCGCAGAACTCCTCAGAGATTTCAGAGATGCGACTGAAGCAGGCAGGGGGACCGGAAAGTGCTAAGCCTGGAGCTTCAAGGTCAGCGTCGTTTCCCTCCACTAGTCTCCACTTTCGAGCAGTGGCCATCAGTGCTTCCTAGCAAAGTGATAGCAAATAGAGAAGAACACACCAAACCAATGACACAAGTATCGAATGGTCCTTTACTTCACGAGCGGTCGGCTGATCCATTGTAAATTGAGGTAGCCATCGGAGTGCGAACATTGTGTTGTTGTCGGTCCCCACCTGCCAGAGCAGCAGACCCCTTTTGGTGATACAATTGGATAAAGTTGCAGTCTGCCACAAACATGCCAGCAAAACATAACCCTCTTTTAGACCCTTCTTCGGGTGGACGTCGATGAAGGTGAACTCAACTGGTGGCACCTTTTTTGTTTGCAACTTTGGGCAAGGGTGAAGTTGAAACAGTAAACAGTAAAGACAACAACTGTTTGCACCTTGTTGTCCTTAAGCATCTTTTCTGCTTTCTTCTCTGGAACCCCCTCCTTTCTGCAAAGTTCTAGGAACCTTTTCTCCCGATATCCATCTGACAGCAGGTCATCATAGAACGCCTGCACGGCACTAATTGAAATGATGTGGTTCCACTGGTGTTGACATCCCCAGCCTTGAGTAGGCTGACCCTCTTCTGGTCAGGCTTCACAACGCGCATGGTGGCGCTAGGCGGTCCCAGCTGGAAAAGGTGGGAAAAAGAACGACAAAAATCCAGTACTGCAGTAGTTCAACGCTAACCTCAACTAGTGTTGCAGTGTTCAACATGGATCCTGAATGATCTTGAGCTGGGATCTTCGGAGCAGTGTACAAGTGGGCAGAATGGCAAAGGTCCATGACCGATTGGATGCGAAGAAAAACAAGACTCAGACGGCTGGAGGCACCTTCATGCCTGCTCGAGAGCAAACGCATGCCTGGGGAATCAGGAAGCAGTGGAGGCTCAAACCTTGAAAGCAGTGCACAATGAAGAAGTCTCAGGGTCGAGCGCTTCCTCAGCGCTTTCTTCATTGGCGAATGCTTGCAAGGTTTGAGCCATGAGAAGTCGATCAAAAGGACCCAGCCATGCAAGTGAGTGATAGAAGGTTCATGTGGTGCAGGCTCCTAAAACCCATCAATCCCAAGAAAGAATGAAAACATAGTATTTTACGAAGGCCTAAGTTTTCATCATGAATACTTAGCATTTGTAAAGGCTAAGTTAAACTTCCACATTGACGCCTAGGGTATATATATATGCATATACAATTTCTTGTTATTGGTGCAGAAACCCGTTTATTTTTGCCTTGCAAGCAGAACCCAGCTGCCCAGGCTTGGCTTGAGCCGCTTCCAGGAAGCTCCTTCACTGATGGCGCATTTATGGAAAATCGTCCGCGGCCCACGGCCCAAGATGGATGGTTGCTGGAGGATAATCCACTTCGACATCCGTGGCACCGTTCTTTGCCATGGAAAGAGCTCGAGAAACTGCTCCGCGAAAAAAAGTGAAGGCGATTCGAGGCGTTTGAGTCGGTCTCAAAGAAGACCTGCTGTGAGGTGCCATGGGCCATGGCGGCCATGGGCGACGAAAAGAATGATAATGTCAGCAATGTAGTTGTCACTTCAGCTTTTGAGAAGCTGTTTGGCGGCCTGAGCTTGTAGGACTCTGCAAGAGCACTACTTCTTTACAGAGCAGAAGTCAGAGCTTTGACAGCTTCCGAGCACAAAAATGTGTTTGACAGCCGGCACTGGCACGAAGACCTGAGAACCATACTAGCATCATAGACACCAGCAACTCGAACATAATTTCCGAGCTTGCTTTTGTTCCGTGACAAGGAACATGCATGTGAGGACTTTGTCAGCATAAATGCCTTGCTGGGTTCATCTTTAGAGGCGAGCTTTTTTGTACAGCCTACGTACGGCTCAAGAAGATGCAAGGCCTCAACCCCCTACAGCACCATTCATCATGCGGGCATAATCTTTTCAAGGACAGCACATACTGCTACATGTTGACTTAATCCATCCAGATCCATATCGATATATATATATTATATATCCATTGCCAATGGCTTTCCATGCCCATGGCTTTCCATTTTTCTGCCACCACCCCGGCACCAACTTACACAAGCTGCTGGTGTGCCATGGCACCCAACAGGCCTCGATGGTTGTTGCCTCTTCTTTTCCTGGCAACTTGCAGGTGTGGTGGCCCAAAAGCTGCATCCTTGGCAACAGCTAACTGATGGGAAGTCTAGAAGATCGAGAAGACTTGTTTGATTTGTTGAATCCGTCGAATATATTTTGTTAAACCATAGTCATTTCGTTTGACTATATATTAAGCAACTACTTTCTTTCCAGAACTCGTAGACTTGAACAATCTGTAAGGAGTATGTGCAAGAAAACCTGGTGGAACAACACTGAGTCTGACACTGATCAGCCTGACCTTGTAGTATCACAGAAGCTAGTAGGGACAGACTAAGGCCGGCTTTCGTGACCCTTCAAGGCCCCTCGCGGGCGCCCTCGCGTGTGGCGCGAAGAGCTGTGGGATTGGAATTCCTCCGCGAGACATTGGAGGCCAGGATCAGTTGGGCATCCTGGAGGCTGCTGATGTTGAGCAAGCCCTTAGACTGTTTGAGAGTACAAACGCTGTCCCAGACGATGCACCCGCATCACCAATACCAAAGTCCAATCAAAGCTCATGCATACCAGGCGTACGCTGCCGCGCGGGTGGCGGACTCACCTTTCCTGGCTGAGGCACCAGGAGATGCCATGAGGTGTTGAACATGCCGATGTCCGTCTCGAGAAGGAGCATGTAATATGGACCTACTGACCTGAAATGAGAACACGAGGGTTTTGAACATCTACTCCCAACCTACTCGGAGTAGCGAGCGGCAATAGTTGGAGTGGACCTTGGTGTGCAGTGGTGTTTGGACCTCCCTAGTCACACATCAAAACACCAAATGTGACTGTGACGCAATAGGCACCCAGATCTGGAGAAGCACACCGAAAAGGGACACATGCTTGGCATAAATCTCCAGCGAGGAGTTCATGGAATCGATTGGAGTACTGCTCGTGAACCTATAGGGTCTTATTGGCACTGAGAACGTATCCTCATGATTCCTCATGCGCTGCTTAACTCCTGAGGGAGTTGCTGTAGAGCAGCAGCTGTAGTTGTCTCGTTCTGCACCAATATCACACTTGGACAGGCCCCGGAAGCAGCATTGCACTGGGGACATGCTGCGGCGATGGTGGGGGTCGTCAGGGTTTTTTTTCGGGTCCGGTTCATCATGGATATTGCTGGAACTGCACCGTGAGTCGTGAGTCACACTTGTGGGTTGATTTGCTGCTGAGCTTGCATAGGGAGGACTTGCTGTCATTTTGCTTTTGATCTTTGTTCAATTTGTGGACATTGTGGACAATGATATTCTATCCAATGAAGGCCTGGATGCACTGTCGACGGCTGTCGAATGTCACATCACAACATGTCTGTCCATGGCGACGGCCAAAAGCAAGACACACATATGCCGGTATTCCATTCCGAACCTTCATTGAATAAGGGATGCTTCAACACTGTTCACTGTATTCTTTGTCAATTTGTCTTGTGACATGTGCTTGAACGGATCATTGGATCATCGAACATCCACTTGCAAGATCGACATATATTAGACCTTCTTGCTCGATCTTGCTCGAAAGCTATATGTTTGACATCATTTTGAGACATGTCTTACTCGACCGCCTAAATCCAGGCCTCAGTCTATCCCCAGCTTGTGTTTGGCGCCTTTCTGGGGTGGCAAATCCGCACGGGCAAAGGGGAGGACCGCTGAAGGGCTGTGGCAGAGGGCAGAAATCCCCTTGTGCTTGTGGACCATGTGAGGGAAGGAGGTTTGGATCTAGCTGGGTGTTACGAGAAAAACATCGGTCTTCGCATGCTTTCGCTGCAGCATCGCTCCATTTTTCGTTGAATGGAAAAACAACTTGTTAGAGAGGTGGTCAGATGTCAGAAGTGGCCTCTCAAGTGTTTGGTCCAACAAGTGGCCTCAGGGTGTTGGTCGCCGATCTTCGGTGTCGAAGTGAGGGAAATTGCAGTGAGGCTCTTTTTGTGAGACGGCTTAGTGGACTTGTCTCTCCCAGCAGAGAGAAGGAGGGAGAGAAAGAGAGAGAGAGAGAGAGAGATTCGGCGCAGAAACCGGAGAGAGGGGGAGAGAGAGAGAGAGAGACACACACACACACACACACCCCGGCCACTGTCAGGAGAGCACGCCATTGGGCTTCTCTTCCAGGGCGCTCCACCCATTGCTGAGCATTGGTGCTTTCTTGTTCTTTCTCATTGGAGGACTTCGGTGGGCCTGTCTGGCGGAGTTCTTTTTGTGGATTCTTTATGCACCACTTCACATCAGCGGAAGAACACAGAAAGCCCGGATGATCATCTGAACATGATCACTTTGCAGTGGAGCTTTGCATTATGGAGCAGGTGGGCTGCCTCCTTGAGAGATCTTCAGGCTCTAGTAACTGGCCCGCGAAGCCACTCATTCGTATCGTCCCAAAGCCACTCATTCATTTCGTCCATGACTGGCTAGGACAGGGTGGTTTGGTGCTGCTCACGGTCAAGAGCTCATATTTGCATGACGTGATTGCTTAAGCCTATATAAACTAACTTTTTACTAGAATCAATGGAATCATTCAAAGGTTAGATAAGATATGACAAGATGAGAATTCTACTGCCTACTGCTTCGACAGGCTCAAGATTTTGAAGCGTCGACCAGATGCCCAGGCCCAGAAGCAAACCATCCTCGACTCCCCTCATGCGGTCACTGCGCTCCTGGGCTCCCGGCTCAGCCAACCAACTGTGACAATCCCTTTCTGCGAAGGAATGTAGCTGTTTAGTGGGACAACTTTGCTCGTGTTTTGGGGTCTATCACAAGAGTCGCCTGTCCAAGATGTTGGAGCTTTGAGAGCTGAAAAAACATTTTAAAGAAACAGCATCCCCTTATCCCATGTGGAAGAGTTACGTACATTATAGGCCACACATCGGGTAAACGGTAAATGTACGTACGCTGTAATTAAATGTAATTAACAATGTTGTAACTCTTCGGATAGCTTGGGCGCAATCCCGTAGCCCGCTTCATCCAAAGATGTGTTTGTTGTGGCTCGTGATTTGGGACCCTGTTTGCCGCGAAACAGTTGATGGATGTGGCTCGCAATCTCACTCAGCCCATCTGAGCTCTGAGGCTTGTCGCTCTTGCTGCTACAAGCGCTGCTGCCCATCTTCTTCCCAAGCGGCGCGCAAGTGCGGACGACTCATGCGTTGTTAGGCCGGCACATGCAACAGGTCTCATTGCCGTGGCCAGATACACGACGGATCCAACGGATAGGAAAATCCTTTCCAAACAACATCGGTTGTACCCATTTTGCGGGGCCGCTGCAGGCTGCAAGATAGTCAGTTAGTGACTACCTTTTGTGATGCTAGGCAACGACAAATACTCAAGTCATTGGACTGTCAAGGGCTTGCTGGCACATGGAGAGCACTGGTTCGTAGAACAGAGAACATCTAGAGTCCAGTGGAGGGGAAAAAGCTATCGTCTCATGATTGATCCTCAACACAGAGGCTGTAGATATCCATAGTATCCCATGATTGTTTTTGAGCCAATTATTCTCTAGCCATTAAGCAGTGTTCCTGCAATTTGTGCAAAGGAGTGCAGTTGCATGACGGTCGTGAGTGCAGGGGTTGGAAACCAAAGGAGGCGCACTAGGAAGCCTTGAGTGTGCCCCCCCCCACACTCTCTTCGGCGGGAGATTCAAAGAACATTGACATTTGATGTTGAATGCACTCACTGTTTCAGGAGGTTTTGGACTTGACAATTCTGCCAGTGCCCTTCATCCCATCGCCACCAGATCAAGATCGGACGGGGAGCGGTTGGGGCAGCAATGTCAAGCCAAATCAAGTCATGTGTGATCTCAAATCTAGCCCCACAAATTCTGGTGACACTAGGCAGCAGACATTGGCAAAACACCTTTTACCCCTCAGTATCCAGAGGACACTTACTGCTCATGTGAATTGCAGTGAAGTCCTTCATGGTAAAGCTTCAGCAATCCCTGAGTCGGTTGCTCGTTTCAGTCAGTTCCTCGAGTCGGCGTTGGTTGTGGGTCAGCACCTTGGCCAACAGCTGACCAGAAATACTTTCTCCTTCCAAGTCCTGTCAATCTAGTCACTAGTCCTTTCGGCTTGGGGCCGAACTACTTGAAAGTTGAATTATAGTGAATTACTTCTGAACCCCCCAGCCATGAAACAACATGCTGGCAAAGTTGATGAATTCACCGGTGAAACAACTGGACTCAGAGTTCTGACACCCGTTCCTCCAGAACAGTCGTAGTGGGTGCCACGGTCACCGTGCCACGGTCGGCCGTGCCATGGGAAGTTGCAAGAGCTTCTTCAAGCGGTCCGCGCAGTCACAGGCCGCGCGTGTTTGCCGCGCCCGACGTTTGGGTCGATGACGTTTGGGTCCCGACATCTCCCGACGTGAAATAGGTCAATCCTCACAGCAGACTCTGGACTCTTGATGGTAGTTCAACCTCATTCCATGAACGATGTGAAGAGGTTTTTGGAATCCAATGTTTGTTTTGTGATGATTCAAGAGTCTGCATTACAGAGTTGGCTAGCATTTTGGCTAGGATTTGCCTGCCGATGCCTCCAGGAGGTTTAAAATGCCGATTGAATCTCATTGACGCTGGTGAGGATGCACCTTTTGTAAGAGTGTGAAAATTGATCCTTGTTGGCCAACATAACCAGGACTTGTTCAGTGCGGTGCCAGGACGGCTTGGTTTGTTCTTGTTCTCAAGCACGTGGGAGTGATAATCAGTAGAGAGAGATTCTGCCAAGCCAGGAGTTTGTTGAACAAATATTATATACCTATATACCCTATCAGTCAAAAGACTTTTAAAAGAAAAGACGTTGGCACAACAACCTTTCTTTATAGCTTTTCACATTTACCCTGTTCACGCTGTTCACGCTGCCAGGATGTATTTTTCTATTGTACTTTCTTGCCTCCCCACCCAGCTTGGTTAAGTCGCATCGACATTCGCTTCAACGCACTCTTGTGTAATAATTAGATTGATGAGCGGTTCGCACACACATGCACAGTTCCTGGTGCCAAGACACGTTTTCATTTGCAACTTCCCTCATAGCTGAGGCATTGGCACACTGTGTAGAAACAGTGCGCACTGTGGGTATACAGGCACAGGTGAGATGAGGGTGCACCTCAAACGACTGCAACGCATCATCCAGTGGAATCTATGGTGTGGATGTCCCCGAAGATATAGACCTGGGCTGGGGCTGGCTTGATCTATATATAGAATCATTTAGACCAAGAGGAACGACCCAGAGGAACTCGGGTGGACGGCGGATCGCAGCGAACCGACAGACTTCGGCGGTTCACACTGAGCGTTCTGCGGAGGATGGAACGGAGAGCTGGGCTCAGAAGCGTGCCGGGACGTCTCCAGTGCTAATCAAGCACATGCAGGCGGCGGATCTTGGTGGTGAGACGGGTTAAAATGATCAAATACCTCAACCTAATGTAACATGTCCATGTAACATGTCCATGAATCATAGCTTAATCATGCCGACTATGTGACCCGGCTGGCCGGTGCCACCGGTCGCATCCGGATCGCTTGCGCCGGAGCGATCGAGGTGTGCAAAGCCTCAGACTTCAGCAAAGCCTACAGCATCGCCCAAGCCTTTCCGGGACCCAAGAATAAGGCGAATGCGCCCAAAAAGCTGCACCTCAGTTGGTAATAGGTGTGGTTGTTTCTTCCGCAGGCTCGGGTGGTCTGGTAAAACTCTGCGTTTCCCGAGGAAATTGGATTGCTCACTATTGGTGGGATGGACCTTTTACTATCCATGCAGACGTTATTGTAGGTTTTTCAATGGATTTTAGTCCGGCCACCAGAAAAGATCAGAACAGTTTCTTTTTGCCTCATGAGAGGTGTGCTTTGGAAACTGCAATTTGGGTTAGGTATTGATCGATTTAGTCACCTTATGGGGGGGCTGCATGCAGGGAATCAATCTCATGCGGAGGCTACAATTCCTATCACACATTTGTAGCTTAAGGCGAGTCCTTCATGTTTGTTCGTGGCTGTCGAACCAAGTGTGTTGGCAGATCCCCTATTTCATCCTTATTTCCTTCGCAACAAGTGGTGATGCTGGGTCGGGCTGGTTTCGCTCGCGATCATCGAAACGGTAAACGGTCTCTGCGGTGCAACGGTCCATCGAAGGCGGGATATGCACTTGTGGCCTTCCCAATGAAGCCTCCAGCCTCACGTCATTACACAGTTCTTTTCGAGCGTTTGCTTTAGGGGATGCGGGTGGCTTCCCTCGATACGTATCCACAATGCAGTTTTGGGGGCCATTCTGAACCAAAAGACACCTAAAAGATGGAAGACCATAGTAATTAGACGCATGGAAACTCCGACTCCCGTCGATAGGGACCACAGCTGCCATTGGTATCCACTCCATGTCAAGGATGTGCTCATCCTGTGGCAACTTCATCGTGGCACCTTGCTGCAGTTGTTTGGTGTGAAAATTGTGAGAGTTCGTAGCTGGATGTTAGCTTTTCTGACACCAAAATGTGGGCTAGTAGGCTAGACGTCTTGATCACCTGGAAGGAAGAAGAAGCAGAAGAAGAAGAAGAAGAAGAATGGAGTTCATGTAGAGGTGAGATCAATATAGATTCGATGTTGATCACTCGATTATGTTTCAAACCATGTTTGGAGATGGTGTGGCTTCTTTGGCCAAGTCCCGACTTGACCACATGAGCGACCGGTCCCGTTGGCGACCCCTTCCACCAGGAAGCACCGGGCGAGCAGAAATTCTATGCCTGCCGAAGTTGCTGGAAGCTGGGCAATGCTTTAGGCATTTGCAACACTTGTTTTCAAGACGAAAGGCCCGGAAGGTTTGGGCGAAGAAAGCGTGCGCGCGGACGAAAACGCGCTTTCCGGAGAAAAAACAGCGTCGGCGTTGGACATTCCAAATCATCCGATGCAGAAGATGCAATGGACCACCCCAAGGCACCAAAACCACTCAATGTAGGCATATATATATATATATGGCATACATGGAGTGTTTGGGAATGAATTGATTGGGACCGGGAACGTGCCCCAGCTCTCTTTGTTCCGGTCCATCGGTGCACGGGTGATTCCATCGCGCCAGGTTTTGCTTGGAGGAGGGGAACACTGCACCCATCAAGGATGACTTCTGGCGTGGTCGGACATCCGGTGGCTTTGAGACAACCGATTGAGTCAGCATTGTTGCATTGCATCTCAAAGTGTCTCTCACTTGAACGTTGATCCGCACCAAGAGGTGAGGAAACAGAGCAAAAGAACGATGCCAACACGTAAACGTCCGTTCCTGGTGTAAACCCTGCAGAAGTCAACACAACATCCGGACATGGTTTTGTCAGGGTTTTGCACCAACTGCAAGTCTACTCACTCTGTACCAGGCGTAAGTTTCGCCGCATGGGTCCTTTTTTTCAGGAGAGCCTTTTTGTGGGGAAATCGCTTCAGCATCAAACTGCTTAGTAATCTCAGAAGGGGATGAGAGAATGAGCCCCCACTATGATCCATTCCCTCATCCCTACTAAGCACCAAATCAATCGGTTCATTCAGGCTCTATGACCGGCTCAATGGGTCTGAAGCTCAGACTGCGTACGCCTGACATGAGCAATCAATCGGCGAGTGCCCTCATGATCATTATACAAATATACAATTATCAAAGGAAGTTTAGAAGGAACTTCCGTGTTACGGACATTCAACAGCTGTTCAACCACCACTCATCATACACCACTCATCAGATTTCGTGGCAGGTGCAGCAATTTGTGAACCTCCATGTGCAGATTTCGTGGCAGGTGCAATACAAAATGCGTTTTCGAGAGATAGCGGACGCACGAAATGCTGTATTTTTCAATAGAACCGGTGGCTTCGAACCTGGCAAGTCTAGCTCTGCGGAACAACTGTTGCGAGACGGTCTCGGGTCATGCTCGGTCGGCCGTCCATTCTGATTAGGTTTTCACTTGTCTCTTGAAGTGCAGATTTCGTGGCAGGCGCAGCACTTTGTGAACCTCCATGTGCAGATTTCGTGGCAGGCACAGCACTTTGTGAACCTCCATGTGCAGATGTCGTGGCAGGTGCAGCACTTTGTGAACCTCCAGGTGCAGATTTCGTGGCAGGCACAGCACTTTGTGAACCTCCAGGTGCAGATTTCGTGTCAGGCACAGCACTCTGTGAACCT